GTTTCGGGATGAAATTCCATGTCTAAAAATGGTGTTGCTTCCACTTTTTAAAAATCGAGCCTTTTTGGTGCCTGGGGAAGAAAACGCGTGACTTAATGGTCAGGAAAAATGCTGCCCAGGAACCAAAATGTTTTTTGAAGCCAAATTTTTTTTTTGAAACCAAATGCAAAAACGGACACCAGGATGAGTTTCGGGATGAAATTCCATGTCTAAAAATGGTGTTGCTTCCACTTTTTAAAAATCGAGCCTTTTTGGTGCCTGGGGAAGAAAACGCGTGACTTAATGGTCAAGAAAAATGCTGCCCAGGAACCAAAATGTTTTTTGAAGCCAATTTTTTTTTTTGAAACCAAATGCAAAAACGGACACCAGGATGAGTTTCGGGATGAAATTCCATGTCTAAAAATGGTGTTGCTTCCACTTTTAAAAATCGAACCTTTTTGGTGCCTGGGGAAGAAAACGCGTGACTTAATGGTCAGGAAAAATGCTGCCCAGGAACCAAAATGTTTTTGAAGCCAATTTTTTTTTTTGAAACCAAATGCAAAAACGGACACCAGGATGAGTTTCGGGATGAAATTCCATGTCTAAAAATGGTGTTGCTTCCACTTTTTAAAAATCGACCTTTTTGGTGCCTGGGGAAGAAAACGCGTGACTTAATGGTCAAGAAAAATGCTGCCCAGGAACCAAAATGTTTTTTGAAGCCAATTTTTTTTTTGAAACCAAATGCAAAAACGGACACCAGGATGAGTTTCGGGATGAAATTCCATGTCTAAAAATGGTGTTGCTTCCACTTTTAAAAATCGAACCTTTTTGGTGCCTGGGGAAGAAAACGCGTGACTTAATGGTCAGGAAAAATGCTGCCCAGGAACCAAAATGTTTTTTGAAGCCAATTTTTTTTTTTGAAACCAAATGCAAAAACGGACACCAGGATGAGTTTGGGATGAAATTCCATGTCTAAAAATGGTGTTGCTTCCACTTTTTAAAAATCGAGCCTTTTTGGTGCCTGGGGAAGAAAACGCGTGACTTAATGGTCAGGAAAAATGCTGCCCAGGAACCAAAATGTTTTTTGAAGCCAAATTTTTTTTTTGAAACCAAATGCAAAAACGGACACCAGGATGAGTTTCGGGATGAAATTCCATGTCTAAAAATGGTGTTGCTTCCACTTTTTAAAAATCGAGCCTTTTTGGTGCCTGGGGAAGAAAACGCGTGACTTAATGGTCAAGAAAAATGCTGCCCAGGAACCAAAATGTTTTTTGAAGCCAATTTTTTTTTTTGAAACCAAATGCAAAAACGGACACCAGGATGAGTTTTGGGATGAAATTCCATGTCTAAAAATGGTTTTGCTTCCACTTTTAAAAAATCGAACCTTTTTGGTGCCTGGGGAAGAAAACGCGTGACTTAATGGTCAAGAAAAATGCTGCCCAGGAACCAAAATGTTTTTGAAACCAATTTTTTTTTTTGAAACCAAATGCAAAAACGGACACCAGGATGAGTTTCGGGATGAAATTCCATGTCTAAAAATGGTGTTGCTTCCACTTTTTAAAAATCAAGCCTTTTTGGTGCCTGGGGAAGAAAACGCGTGACTTAATGGTCAAGAAAAATGCTGCCCAGGAACCAAAATGTTTTTTGAAGCCAATTTTTTTTTTTGAAACCAAATGCAAAAACGGACACCAGGATGAGTTTTGGGATGAAATTCCATGTCTAAAAATGGTGTTGCTTCCACTTTTTAAAAATCGAGCCTTTTTGGTGCCTGGGGAAGAAAACGCGTGACTTAATGGTCAGGAAAAATGCTGCCCAGGAACCAAAATGTTTTTTGAAGCCAAATTTTTTTTTTGAAACCAAATGCAAAAACGGACACCAGGAGAGTTTCGGGATGAAATTCCATGTCTAAAAATGGTGTTGCTTCCACTTTTTAAAAATCGAGCCTTTTTGGTGCCTGGGGAAGAAAACGCGTGACTTAATGGTCAGGAAAAATGCTGCCCAGGAACCAAAATGTTTTTTGAAGCCAATTTTTTTTTTTGAAACCAAATGCAAAAACGGACACCAGGATGAGTTTCGGGATGAAATTCCATGTCTAAAAATGGTGTTGCTTCCACTTTTTAAAAATCGAACCTTTTTGGTGCCTGGGGAAGAAAACGCGTGACTTAATGGTCAGGAAAAATGCTGCCCAGGAACCAAAATGTTTTTTGAAGCCAATTTTTTTTTTGAAACCAAATGCAAAAACGGACACCAGGATGAGTTTCGGGATGAAATTCCATGTCTAAAAATGGTGTTGCTTCCACTTTTAAAAAATCGAACCTTTTTGGTGCCTGGGGAAGAAAACGCGTGACTTAATGGTCAAGAAAAATGCTGCCCAGGAACCAAAATGTTTTTTGAAGCCAATTTTTTTTTTGAAACCAAATGCAAAAACGGACACCAGGAGGAGTTTCGGGATGAAATTCCATGTCTAAAAATGGTGTTGCTTCCACTTTTAAAAAATCGAACCTTTTTGGTGCCTGGGGAAGAAAACGCGTGACTTAATGGTCAAGAAAAATGCTGCCCAGGAACCAAAATGTTTTTTGAAGCCATTTTTTTTTTTTGAAACCAAATGCAAAAACGGACACCAGGAGGAGTTTCGGGATGAAATTCCATGTCTAAAAATGGTGTTGCTTCCACTTTTTAAAAATCGAACCTTTTTGGTGCCTGGGGAAGAAAACGCGTGACTTAATGGTCAGGAAAAATGCTGCCCAGGAACCAAAATGTTTTTTGAAGCCAATTTTTTTTTTTGAAACCAAATGCAAAAACGGACACCAGGATGAGTTTCGGGATGAAATTCCATGTCTAAAAATGGTGTTGCTTCCACTTTTTAAAAATCGAGCCTTTTTGGTGCCTGGGGAAGAAAACGCGTGACTTAATGGTCAAGAAAAATGCTGCCCAGGAACCAAAATGTTTTTTGAAGCCAATTTTTTTTTTTGAAACCAAATGCAAAAACGGACACCAGGAGGAGTTTCGGAATGAAATTCCATGTCTAAAAATGGTGTTGCTTCCACTTTTTAAAAATCGAGCCTTTTTGGTGCCTGGGGAAGAAAACGCGTGACTTAATGGTCAGGAAAAATGCTGCCCAGGAACCAAAATGTTTTTTGAAGCCAATTTTTTTTTTTGAAACCAAATGCAAAAACGGACACCAGGAGGAGTTTCGGAATGAAATTCCATGTCTAAAAATGGTGTTGCTTCCACTTTTTAAAAATCGAGCCTTTTTGGTGCCTGGGGAAGAAAACGCGTGACTTAATGGTCAGGAAAAATGCTGCCCAGGAACCAAAATGTTTTTTGAAGCCAATTTTTTTTTTTGAAACCAAATGCAAAAACGGACACCAGGAGGAGTTTCGGAATGAAATTCCATGTCTAAAAATGGTGTTGCTTCCACTTTTTAAAAATCGAGCCTTTTTGGTGCCTGGGGAAGAAAACATGTGACTTAATGGTCAGGAAAAATGTTGCCAAGGAACCAAAATGTTTTTTGAAACCCAATTTTTTTTTTGAAAACAAATGCAAAAACGGACACCAGGATGAGTTTTGGGATGAAATTCCATGTCTAAAAATGGTGTTGCTTCCACTTTTTAAAAATCGAGCCTTTTTGGTGCCTGGGGAAGAAAACGCGTGACTTAATGGTCAAGAAAAATGCTGCCCAGGAACGAAAATGTTTTTTGAAGCCAATTTGTTTTTTTGAAACCAAATGCAAAAACGGACACCAGGAGGAGTTTCGGGATGAAATTCCATGTCTAAAAATGGTGTTGCTTCCACTTTTTAAAAATCGAGCCTTTTTGGTGCCTGGGGAAGAAAACGCGTGACTTAATGGTCAAGAAAAATGCTGCCCAGGAACCAAAATGTTTTTTGAAGCCAATTTTTTTTTTTGAAACCAAATGCAAAAACGGACACCAGGAGGAGTTTCGGAATGAAATTCCATGTCTAAAAATGGTGTTGCTTCCACTTTTTAAAAATCGAGCCTTTTTGGTGCCTGGGGAAGAAAACATGTGACTTAATGGTCAGGAAAAATGTTGCCAAGGAACCAAAATGTTTTTTGAAGCCAAATTTTTATTTTTGAAACCAAAGGCAAAAAAGGACACCAATTCAAGATTTAGCGTTGCCAGGTGTCCACTATTTGAGCGGACAGTCCACTTTTTTCACATTATGCTCACTATTTTTTTGTCACATTTTTTTTATTTAAAAGCTTTATGATGAAATTAAAATGTAATGTAATATTTTACATATTATTATAATATATTTGATGTTTTGAATTTTAAGTAAAGTTTTGAAGTGATTATTTTAATACGTGTTAAAATGTTTGTAAGAAAATATATAATTTAATTGGAAATTTTTTTTTAATTTTTTTACTACTTAACCCCCCCCGCCCCCCCGCTTGTCCGCTATTTTTTGGACGCAGACCTGGCAACCCTAATTGCTCAACTCCAGCATCCAGCCCTAATCAGGCTAGTTGAGGATGATGGGACCTGTAGTCTGTCTTTTTCTTCTATGATTTCCAAATAGGGCAACAGCCACGGCTTCCTTTTCCAAAATTTTAGCAAGGAGTTGTCGAGTGGGTGTGGCCAGGGGGCGTGGCCTAGTCGGCCTCCTGCACCATGGTGGGGGGAGCGTTTTTGCCCTCCCCGGGCTCCGGAGGCTTTCCTCAAGCCTCCAGGAGAGCAAAAACTGCCTCCCCAGGCTCCAGAGGCCCTCTGGAGCCCGGAAACGGGCTCGTTTCCAGCCTTCCCGAACTTCCAGTAGACCCGTTTTTCACCCTCCCTCAGCCTCCCCGTGCGCCCTGCACTTACCTGCATCCAAAATAGGCCGTGTGGGGAATCCTGGGAGGGGAGGGGAGGGGAGGGGAGGGGTGGGGTGGGAGGGGCCAGCCAGGAGTGAGATTTGGGGGGTTTCTACAAACTGCACAGAATCTTAGCTAGAGGATCTCCCGAACCTCTGCAAACCCCTGCCTCTCCTCCGTTAAACCTGGAAAGTCTTATTCCTTAACATTTCACTCAACATGTTCTCCTCTTTTATTCTTAAAACTTGAATTAAACATTTTTTTAAAAAACGTGTTCATAGCATCTTTTAAAAAGTCCAACAGTCTATGATTATTATTTTTTTTTTCTCTTCCTCCTCAGGTGAACGAATATCATCCGTGATAGGCACTCGGCATCTTTGTTACCTGTCCGAACAAAACAGAAAAAAAGGACCAATGAAAGGGTACATTTGACCGCAAGGGTAGCATTTTCGCAAAGATGGAAAGCAGGGAAAAATCCCTTTGGAAGGGGAAGTAATTTAAAAAAAATCTTAGACTGTGCAGAAATGAATAGATTAACTTTGATGATTAAAGAGAGAGAGAGGATACGGATTATTATAAGATATGGGGAAAATTTTATGATTGGTTAAAAAAGAGATATAGATAAAGATTGTATTCATTAAATAAGGAGAATTTTACAAATATTGTAACAGAGAAATGGATATTATCCCTTCCCTTCCCTTCCCTTCCCTTCCCTTCCCTTCCCTTCCCTTCCCTTCCATTCCATTCTATTCTATTCTATTCTATTCTATTCTATTCTATTCTATTCTGTATTTTGTCTTCTCTTCTTTTCTCTTCTCTTCTCTCCTCTCCTGTCCTCTCCTATCCCGTA